CATCAAACATCATTTCGGGCACTGTTGTGTAACATTTGGACATGCCCTCCACATGTCCAGCATAAAACCGTTTGAAAGTTTTACTAAGGCCTTCAATGTTGTCACCCTCATCAAACACCTTTCGAACAAGAATCGTATGACGCTCTTTAAAATCTTCGTAAGAGGAGCATGGTTGTCCTTGTTAGAGGTGTGAAATTTGGTTTAACGTCGCGTCCAAGATTATTGCACTTATATAGCGACGTACATGCACGTGTATGTGTGTGGCTGCTTGTACTAGTCCGGACTGATGCCGATTTATAGTGCTAGCACACTGAGATATCATGCCGCAGTTTAACATGGACACCCCACTCAGACACAGTATATTGACTCCGAGCCGACCAGTCCTTGTTTTAGCCCCTTAATGCCGAGCGCCAGACAGGGTAACAACAAGTACCATCTTTTAACGTCTTTTGGTATGACGCGGTCGGGGATCGAACCCCGGACCTTCCGCTCTCCGGGCAGACGCTCTACCACTAGACCACGGAGGCGGTCATCTTGTTAGAACCAAAGCAATAGTAATCATTACTTCAGAATAAAGTCACCATCAGAATTGTTTTCGACTGAGATGAATTTAATAAGTTCTTTTCAGCCTGAGAAAAGATTGGACAGGCCTAAATTAGGAATGAAAAATGTTCACAAATGCTGCCGGGATCAAACGCCTGTCAGTCAGAGGGGCATGCTAAGATAGCGAGAGTTATGTCCCTTTAACTCCCAAATCACATTTCAGTTATCAAGAGTTCTTTAACAAGGCATCAATGAAAATTACAATAATATATCTAATACCACTACGACTACTACCATTTATCGACTGCATAAGCGGAAGATTACTTCGATTTTGAGGGCCCGATCACAGTGCATGGCATTATTCCCCCTGTGTGTACTTAACTTGTAGTCTCAACTCCCTGGGAACTGTATGATCCCCAAAACCAATCTGCCTTGCGGGGATGGACATTTACTTGAGTAATGTACTTATTATTTTATGATCTGAGATATATCACACCTGTTATCTTTTACACTGATTAATCAAACCAAAATAGCATTTTTGTTAATACTTTTGCAGAACTTCTGCCAGTTTCAAATATACTTCTACTTGTGCTTTTACCACAATCACAGGTTTCAGGGGGTGTACAAGGGACGTAACTCTGCACAGCGAATTGCGGCGTCTTAGACGACTGGGCCACCCGTGCACACTATAAACAGTGCAAACAACAAAGTGTAAAATTGCCAACGTCTAAGGAATGACGGTCAAAGAATTCATGGATAATTTTTACTGACCTCAAGCTTTCAATATACAGGGAATGACGCTTTAAAGTTCAGTTATATTAGCGTGTCAACTTTATGTTGGCTAAACACACAAAAGCAGGTTGAAGACGTTTATAGCATCTGTGAAAGTCACACGCATGTTTTGTTAGTTTAGCAATATTCCAGCTCTTTGACGACTTTCTGTAAATAATCGAGTCTGGACCAGACACTCCCGTGACTGACATCATGAGCATCGATCCACGCAATTGGGATACGATGACATGCATCAACCAAGTCAGCGAGCCTGACCACCCGATCCCGTTAGTTCCCTCTTACAAGAATAGGCGCCTTTTACGACAAGCATGGGCTGCTGTTCAAGGACCTATTCTACCCCGGATCTTCACGGGGGAGACAAGCGTGGGTTGCTGAAAACCTATTCTACCCCGGGTGTTCACGGGTAGCAGGGTATAGTGCTGACAGACTGATGAGTATCGGGACGAATCTTGGAGCCTTACAAAAATAAACAAATAACTTGTAAAAATCACATAATTAAATAGCTATTAGCCTTTAATGACAGAGATATATTAACCTGAATATGCACAAAATAAGGAACATAGTCTAATTATTAAAGCTAGTATGTCTAAATTTAACAGGGTTACTCTATAACTGAATATTTTCTAACATGTTTACCAAGTGCGTAACTATGTGCACAGCTAAGGCTAGAAGAGTTACCTCCCATAGGTTTATAAATCTTGTCACCAGCTCGGCACCGTTTTACAAACCGACCATAGTGTTACGACGCTCGTTATACATATTTCAAGTTTTCAATATACAAAAAAAAAAGATGTGGGTGTAACGCTGCTTGAAAGTTAATTTCAGTTATATTAGCGTGTCAGCTTTGTGTTGGTTGTAAAGTCACAAGCACGTGTATGTTTATAGTATCTGTGAAAGCCACAAGCAGGGGTGTGTCTATAGTATCTGTGAAAGCCACAAGCAGGGGTATGTTTATAGTATCTGTGAAAGTCACAAGCAGGGGTATGTTTATAGTATCTGTGAAAGTCACAAGCAGGGGTATGTTTATAGTATCTGTGAAAGTCACAAGCAGGGGTATATTTATAGTGTCTGTGAAAGCCTCAAGCATGGTATGTTAATAGTATCTGTGAAAGTCACAAGCAGGGATATGTCTATAGTATCTGTGAAAGACACAAGCAGGGGTATGTTTATAGTATCTGTGAAAGTCACAAGCAGGGGTATGTTTATAGTATCTGTGAAAGTCACAAGCAGGGGTATGTTTATAGTATCTGTGAAAGTCACAAGCAGGGGTATGTTTATAGTATCTGTGAAAGTCACAAGCAGGGGTATGTCTATAGTATCTGTGAAAGTCACAAGCAGGGGTATGTCTATAGTATCTGTGAAAGTCACAAGCAGGGGTATGTTTATAGTATCTGTGAAAGTCACAAGCAGGGGTATGTCTATAGTATCTGTGAAAGTCACAAGCACGGGTATATTTAAAGTATCCGTGAAAGCCTAAAGCATGGTATGTTTATAGCATCTGTAAAAACCACAATCAGGATATGTTTATAGTGTATGTGGAAGTCACAAGCACGGGTATATTTATAGTATCTGTGAAAGTCACAAGCAGGGGTATATTTATAGTGTCTGTGAAAGCCTCAAGCATGGTATGTTTATAGTATCTGTAAAAACCACAAGCATGGTATGTTTATAGTATTTGTGAAAGCCACAAGCACGAGTCTGTTTATAGTATCTTTATAAGTGAATATTAACGAACATGCTTACTAATTCATAACGATGTGCTTTGATGCAATATTATGTATATATTTTGTACATATCATCTATGTACATGCTAAATATATACATGTATGGAAGCCTATTAGTGCCATATTCTAAAAAAGTAAATATCATCATCGAAGATGATACCGCTCACATCGTCGTAGATGATACCGCTCGAATCGTCGTAGATGATACCGCTCACATCGTCGTGGGTGATACCGCTCACATCGTCGTAGATGATACCGCTCACATCGTCGAAGATGATACCGCTCACATCGTCGTGGGTGATACCGCTCACATCGTCGTAGATGATACCGCTCACATCGTCGTAGATGATACCGCTCACATCGTCGTAGATGATACCGCTCACATCGTCGTGGATGATACCGCTCACATCGTCGTAGATGATACCGCTCACATCGTCGTAGATGATACCGCTCACATCGTCGTGGATGATACCGCTCACATCGTCGTGGATGATACCGCTCACATCGTCGTAGATGATACCGCTCACATCGTCGTAGATGATACCGCTCACATCGTCGTGGGTGATACCGCTCACATCGTCGTAGATGATACCGCTCACATCGTCGTAGATGATACCGCTCACATCGTCGTAGATGATACCGCTCACATCGCCGTAGATGATACCGCTCACATCGTCGTAGATGATACCGCTCACATCGTCGTGGATGATACCGCTCACATCGTCGTAGATGATACCGCTCACATCGTCGTAGATGATACCGCTCACATCGTCGTGGATGATACCGCTCACATCGTCGTGGATGATACCGCTCACATCGTCGTAGATGATACCGCTCACATCGTCGTAGATGATACCGCTCACATCGTCGTAGATGACACCGCTCACATCGTCGTGGGTGATGCCGCTCACATCGTCGAAGATGATACCGCTCACATCGTCGTAGATGATACCGCTCACATCGTCGTGGATGATACCGCTCACATCGTCGTAGATGATACCGCTCACATCGCCGTAGATGATACCGCTCACATCGTCGTAGATGATACATTCATCTACGTATATCATATTATAATCTTCGTAGAATAAGATATCATCAACTATCGAACAATATATCACTATGTGAGTAACCATACTCACGATAATAATATCATATACGCAGATGAAAGTGTATGCATTTCTTATGTATTTATTGTTGAATAAAATATATAGTGATAGGAAAAATGAAATATGAAAGACAATGCAAATACGTTTTGTTTCTTCTCTTAATGAGGAAGTAAATATGCCCGTCCCTCAGCCATGTTTATGAACACGGCACTAGCGACTAATGTCCGATTATATCGAGACGCAATAGTTTATGAACAGTTTAAATCATATTGAGGTAAAGAGTTTTTCTTTTCTTTCACACATATTTATGTTAGGCCATGTATGATGTGGATTCATAAACTCATGTTCATGGTATAGTAGGAATCGTAAATCGACTCTGCTTATGCAGATATCCTATTGAATATGGAAAGGTTATATTGTCGCTTTACTTATTGGATGCGTTGTCTTGGCAAGCGATGGATGCGCCAGTACAATCCCACTACAAACAATCAGGTTCGGAGGAGTTATCTCCCATTATTTTTGGAATCGCATCACCATCTGAATGCACGAAATGAAGTTTTTTGTTCGCGACAGATACAGGCATATGTACTGCAAAACTAAATACCTTAAAAAGACATCAAGCTTTAGACACACAGCAAGGAAACGATGATAGTGTAACGCCGCTTTAAAGTATATATTAGTTATATTTGCGTGTCAGGCTGTTAGCTATATGTTGGAGTAGACACGAACGCAGGTTGTAGACGTTTGTAGCCTTAGTGAAAGCCACATGCATGGGTATGTTTATAGTATCTGCGAAAGTCACAAGTAGGGTATGTTTATAGTATCTGTGAAAGACACAAACATCGGTATGTTTATAGTATCTGTGAAAGACACAACATCGGTATGTTTATAGTATCTGTGAAAGACACAAACATCGGTATGTTTATAGTATCTGTGAAAGCCACAAGCATCGGTATGCTTTATTATTAAATATGAAAGCCACAAGCACTGGTATAGTGCTGACACAAATGACGAGGATCGGGACGAATCTTGGATCCTTACAAGGCTAAGGGACAAAACACTGTAGGACGAATCCAACGTAGAACACCTTCTGAGCGGCGTCCCCGTTTTCGAAAGATAAATATGATACATAATCATCTGTACATGTGCACCATGATGACATTCCCGGTACGACTGTTTTGTTTGTCTGCTGTTTAAAGGGAGCACATCAAGTAATGCTGTTTGTTTGTTGTTTAACGCCGCACTCAGAAATATTCAAGCTGTAAATAATCGAGTCTGGACCAGACAATCCAGTGATTGGCAACGATCAACGACGTCGGGGTCGACACGGGGTCAACCAAGTCTAGCCTAAAAACCCGATCCAGTACGTCTCCTCCTACGACCAGATAGCAGGAATCCAGACACTGCCGGGTACACAGACACTGCCGGGTACACAGACACTGCCGGGTAAACAGACACTGCCGGGTACACAGACACTGCCGGGCAAACAGACACTGCCGGGCAAACAGACACTGCCGGGTACACAGACACTGCCGGGTAAACAGACACTGCCGGGTACACAGACACTGCCGGGTAAACAGACACTGCCGGGTAAACAGACACTGCCGGGTAAACAGACACCGCCGGGTACACAGACACTGCCGGGTACACAGACACTGCCGGGTAAACAGAGAGCCTCGGTTCCCCATGCGGAAGGGTCGACTTGCATGGGCACAGTGTGGTCAGGCTTTGTTTAGATGATTGTGTGTGATCGTACCCCGACTGCGTGGATCGTTCCTCGTGATTTCGGGCACCGGCTTGCCTGGGTTTGACTCGATTATTTACAGGCCGCGACATATAGCTCGGATATTACTGACTGGGGTGTTAAAAACACTCACTGAAATATATGCGTTAGTAAATGCACCAATGGTGTGTTCCTGTGGTAAACTGTCTACAAGTAGAAAATACAACATATTAACAACATACATAATTATACGACAGAACCAGGAAACGGGGACACAATCAGTTGAATATATTTTATTTCTAAAATATATATATTTCGTATGTATCAAATACTTCCAGTGAAAGAGCTGTACAAATGCATACAATCAACCCGGCTCACTATAGGACAATGGACGGACATAGTTGTAAACAACCATTCACAACCTGATTCAATTTATCACATAAGTGACTCATTAATAAATAGGAAAATAAATGCCGGATGCCTCTATGGACTCGCGATTCTGTTGACATTTGATTATTTATTTTAAAACACCATCCTGAAGTGCATGACATAACTGAACGACAGTGTTCTTGGAATCGTTAAAATGTAGGTCCACTACGTTTTCGTCAATCGGTATTTGGGTCCTAGAAATGGAACGTGTTCAAAACAATGACATCTTTAGCACAGTTCTTACAATAAAATCCTTTCACTACAATATTCATTTAGTTCCAAATGATTGAGTTATATAATAAATGCTTCTACAATGATGTCAAGTGTCCTAATTTCAGTATAATTCATACGTTTTTTTCATATTATCTTTTAATTTGACTAATTTTAATATTATTAAATAACCCATAACATACCATGTTTGTACAATATCGTTTCTTACAAGTTCAGGGCAATCTTGCAGTTCCGATTTAAAAACATAATGCCTGTTACAGATTTTGCTTGGAAGCTATGATTTCCTCGAATTCAATTATCTATCGTGAATATGGTTTTACGCCGCTTTTATCAATATTCCAGCAACATCACGAAATGGATTTCACACAGAGTACCCATCTGGAGAATCGAACAGGGGTTGGGACGTGACGAGCAAACGCTTGAACCACTCGGTTACCCCAACGCCCCACAATATATCGGGTTTAGGAGTTCCAGGTAATGAGGGGTCCCGTTATGAGAAAGGCACAGGGTTCCGATATTTTCACTGAAGCAAACCAGCTTGCAGTGAATAGGACGCACGTCCACGTGTCCGTTTGTCGACATCTAATGTCGCCCTGTAATGAGGAAGAAGGAGAAGATGGCTCATCCATCAACGTGTACAAATGCCCAGTGAAGTTATATGCTACTGCCATGGCACCATGTTAAACGTCTTCGTGTCAACGTGAAACTAATACTATATATCCATTTTCTAACATTAAGCGAATACGTAAACAAGAATAGAATGGAAGTGGCATGATGATTCACGCTCAATAAAGAATCAAATGTCTTAAGACATTTTTAATTTTTTAAACTTTTCCAGTGTTAATGTGTTTAGATCCTGATATAGACTTGCACCCAGTCATGAAACATGTGGATTTGAAACGTACGAGACAATTACAGCTTTTGTTCATCTTGATATACGTGGTTCAAGAAACCTTGATGTGAAGTTGGTGACATTGCACCACCGTCATGTGATGCTTCTCAACATTTGATAGGGATATTCCTAGTGTCTATTTGGGGACTGAATGTGTCTGATTGTTTGAGAGATCCAACGAATTGAGGTATTACTTTTGCTGCTTAATTTCGTTTTGTTTGCCCCCAGCAATATTCCAGCTTTATGACGGCGGTATGTAAATGATCGAGTCTGGACCAGACAATCCAGTGATTTAGGAACATCGACCCACGCATTTGGGATACGATGACATGCATCAAGTCACCGATCCTGACCACCCAATTCATTGATCAGTCTCCTCTTACGACATGCATATGTTGCTAGGGAACGGGTAAGATTCACTTCCAGTTAAACCATAAGTAAAGACTTAAAAAGTAGCTGCTGTACTGCAGTTTGATTATAGTATGATTATATAAACATCCCTTTCAATTGTTGAGTAGGATAATACCTCTACTTCCTTAAAACCCGAACAAAAATTATTCCAAAACACTTAATCCTTCTTCTGTCGTCATTGGTCATTAATCGTTGTACAAGATCATAGTATAATCATGAATTCCGTGAAATTAACCCATCCTCCGCCTTCGCATTTACAGCAACGAAGGGCAGCTTCGTGTCCATCATTCCCCGTCCGCCATACTCCCCCTTCCTCGCCATGTCACTCATGTAAGTCTTTTCCCGCGTCAGAGTCTGTTCCTGCCTCAACGACAGACGAACAGGATCATGGGACCGTCTGGGCGGCAACACGACCTCATAACTGTCTGCTGGTGATTCCCTTGGAAGGCTAACCGTCACTTTCCTTGAATTTGGTTTACTTGAGGTGTCGGAATCCCATGAAATGTCTCTGACAGAGTATTGTGAATCTGACTCTCGCTCGTTCAACTCAACCGAGGAGTCTTCCACGCACAAAGAAGCGGTCCTAAAATCCCGAGCATTCTTCCTCCACGGGTCGTCCTCTTTACTTTCGTCGTTTTCGGAATCGTTGGTGAAGTCGGACATACTAGGCAGTCTAATCACACCTTCACTGACAACGTCTTTGGATTTGGCTTTTGAGGATTTAGTGGTTTTGAGTTCTGACTGTGTTGACCCTGCACGTTTGTTGGGAAGTCGATACTGAAATTTAGCAAAACGTTCCCCTTGCCGTGAGTGTGAGTAGGCTGGGGCAGGGGAACAACTGTTTCTCATCGAGTCCGTTTCATCCTCATCCCTGGAACACCCCGTAATGAGCAAACGTTTATGAGCGGACGAGATGGGATGAGTCTGTTTACTGTGTGTAACATGGGTAAACTCGTCTGCGTTCGGTGCCATCGTCAAGAAACGATGTAGACGAAACTCTCGCGTGGTTTTGAAGGAAGAACGGTTAGCACTTTCAGAAGATCTCGTTACATCATCTACATCTCGTTTTGGTCTCTGAACACGTTTCTTTATCACTGGAGTGGTTGGATTGATGGATGTGAAAGGTACACTGGTAACCTCTCTCCTGAACGGTAACATAGGAGGAAAATTTACATCCTTCATCGTATCGCCAGAGTCCCTCAGGGCGATTTTAGAAGGCGACGTGGTTGGATATCCACTCTGAACACGGCGTTCAATCTTCTTTGGACTCTGAACAGGAGGTTCTGCCTCTTTTGTTTGTAGAAATCGAATGACTTGTTTAATGTTTAGCTTATCTGGGTCGTTGTCGTTGATGGGAGTTGTACTTCTCGGTAGCTGGTTCACATTTAACTTATATTTCTTATTTTTCTTATTGTCCTTCCCAAACCCGTCTCTATGTTTCTGAATCTCCATCTCCCCTGGTGTCAAGGTAACCGATCTCCAGAAACCATTCTGGGACATGAAGTACCGCCCGTCCAGCGCCTTACAGGGGGACGGCTTTGGGAGAACCTTAACAGTCTTCGGAACATCTATGGTGGACAAACTATCACTTGAGCCCGGAGATTCAGAAGGTTCAGGAGTTCTAATCACAATTCGATTATTCACGGTATTCACACTTTCTGTCGTTACTAACGTGTCTTTAACACGGGAATTATACTCCGATCGTGCGCGCTGGGGAGGAGCAGTGATCGCAGGTGAGGGATGTTCTCTAGGCTTTCGTTCTGAGGACACACGACGAGGTTTGGCGTCATACCTCCGGCCATGTGTTCTCGTGACGGCCAGGGTGGGGAATCCCCTAGCTTGACCATACACTCGAGCGCTGTCAACGTGTAGAGTAGCGGACTGGGATGCATTGTTGCTGGAAAAGGGCATCAGCTGCAGAACGGTCGGTTGCCAGTTGTCAGTCATCAAAATGGCGGCACTCATCTTGTCCATGGAGCCTCTATGAAGCTTTGCTACAAAGGGATGGCGAGTAAAGACGTGTCAATATTCACGTTAAGCATCCATGGTTTATCTACAGACGTTCCGACGCAGCCAATGTCTATTTTCGTTTGTACATGACAACACTTGTGATCATTTCTCCACAACTTCTTGCTTCCAGATCCAGTCATCGTGGCATCCCCAGACAGCTCCATGGGTGGCGGTCATCGTGGTTTCTGCAAACAGAAGCGTAGAAACGTATATGTTAGTTTGTAGAAATAGTCCGAGGAGGTTGCATTGCCAATGGCAACCTTAACGGAAATATATTAAAATTATATTTGTATTTCGTATTTACTCTATTCATTCTATTATACTAAAATGATATACAATTCTAAAGCAGAAAATATCATTAATGGTTAGATTTAATAACATAACAGAATAAACTGATTATAAATAACGCCTTCGATAAGATTAAAATCCTTGCTCTGTCAGCATGTTACTCATGGAAACGCTATTCGACGTGATATTACCGAAATGCTGTCAAGAACGGCGTTACCCCCAACACGATTTATTGAATGCGTTCATTATAATATGCCTGTGTATACACCCCCCCCCCATGCCATGATCATGAAGAATACCAATCCATCAATACCACTAATGTACGTCAAGCATAGAACATCTATCAACAATTTACAGACATCAAATTCTGACCTGACATGGCAGCCACGCACGGTGACCTGGGAGAAGCCACAAAGTGAACTGAAGTCATTCTAACCGTGGATACTCCAAACAGCTTATAGTAAGTAGAGTCAACAAGGGTTACTCACCATCGCGAGTAATAATACACCCAGTGTTCTAAACAAGCTCATCTCCTTTCCCACTCAACTCATTTCCCTTTTAGAGTTGTCCAAGCCATGATAGATCATTGAAACGACTAATTACAAATACAACACGGGCCTTCCATATTGTTTGTCATGTGTTATCAGTTTACCCAGCTCTTGAACCTTCGGATGGAATCTGTGTTGAAACAAGGCAATGCGATCATGAGGGCCATCGATCAGGGCAAATACCTGTGTCGATGTGACTCGCTGTTCTTTTGTCCCGTAATGTTCTTTGAGAACAAAGTCGCTGATGAGAGCTGTCGGTCGAGGTCGGGGAGAAATACCGGGACGTTATTGAATACCTGTCGTCCACACTACAGGATAATGACATACAAATCCACGGGGGGCAGGGAAAGTAGGTCTGTCTCTGTAGATGTCTGTCCCATGATCTCAGTAGGCTTGGTCGGAAATGAACGAAGGACCGAAATGCCAGTCATGTTTGTGACAGGGACAATTAACGCATGACATAATTTCTTGACATGAATTACTTTGCCGAGGAGGCCAAGTTCATGGTCATTTTGGGCGAGATTTGGGCAAATACTTCTTTGGAGAGAATATATTCTCGACTGACTATTACATTTCATTTTTCAATATCCTTTGGTTGTCTGTATACCCGTGAAGATCCGGGATAGAATAGGTCTTCAGCAACCAATGTTTGCAATAAAAGACGACTATGCTTGTAAGCGGCGACTAACGGGATCGGGTGGTCAGGCTCGCTGACTTGGTTGATGCATGTCATCGTATCCCAATTGTATGGACCGATGCTCATGATGTCAAGCACTGGATTGTCTGGTCCAGACTCCATTATTTACAGACAGCCGTCATATAGCTGGAATATTGCTGAGTGCGGCGTTAAACAAACAAACAAACAAAATGATATTTTCACAGACACGCCTGTCATACATTCTCTTAATTCAATCCATCTCACGAGGTGGTTCGTCACAAGTACACACATTGAAGAAAGCAGAATTTCCATTAGTTATATACTGTGTATGGCAGAGTATGGCAGAGTATAGATAACATAAGAGCCGTCGAACTGTCAACTGAGGTGTCGTGTTTTTAGTTCTTGTTTGTGAATCGGCAGGCCGCAATATTTTGAAAAATAACATTCTAACAACACGACAATTTGAAATACAGGATTTCATTTTACAGTAAAGAATTACCAATAAATCTGTTTAAAAAGGCTATGGTTTTTTTCTTGTCACGTGTTTATCCCCTTGAGTGACAAGTAAAGAGTTGATAATTGTGAAAATGTGAATTTTCTTAGGTCACAAGATGACAAAATCACGGTATTTAAAAGAAAGCACAAATAATTCTACGAATACGTATTTTCTTTCTGATCTCTGAAAACCATGAAAACCATAGCGTCGACGAGAAAGACTGAAAGTAGTCGGGTATAACAATGTATTTTCACTCGAGTGAAATATCAATTTATTTTTACTTTCACACCAACGGAAAAGCACCAATCTCCCCCTCGCATTCTCACTGTACTAATTATATGATATTTTAAATGAAATTGATAAACAAACAAAACAATTCATGACGCTTGGAGAAGTGTATTAGGCGTCATGTCAGTCACAACTTGTTTGGTTGTAGGCCACTGAGTGCAGTGGGGAGCTGTGACTGGTGGCAGCGATAGCACACAGGTATCGAACGGGCTATCTATCGCCACGAGAAGCTTGATACATGTATGACTGACATTAACGAAAGAGCAGTGTAGCCAGCACACCCATGTCTGTACGTTATTACTGCTGTAACCACTGCTTGACGAATACCCGCCTATCACACAACGCCTGGCAGATCAACCTACCCACATTGGTGAGCACACCTACCTACTCTTATCGTCCACATTTGACGCTCGGACACCCATGTTTGCCAGATATGGTGATAGCAGCAAATCCATTCACAATTTCAATGAAACCATTACGTATGAATAGGATCTATTTGGCCAAGTCAGTCGCTGAGACAGACACCCACCTGTGCGTGTTATTGAACAGCGTGGTACGCCTTATTGAAAAAAAGGTTCATTTTAACGTTTGGAAATCTTCAACAAGTACCCTAGGATTGATACGGGCTTACTGTTAAGTATTTGAATTTTAGCACATGAGTTTTCGTTTTCGTCACCTGCTGTTATTAAGGGTTATATTGGTTTATCCTTAATCAACGTAAACATCAGTACTATATCTTGAGGCTCGGTAGGCCCAGTCGTCTAAGGTGTAGCTACTCGCTGAGCAGAGTTGCAGAGACCTATGATCGTGGGTTCGAATCCCTTACTCGTCTCGATTGTGTTTCCATGTCTGTCAGTACCATACCAGTGATTTTGAGTTTCATCAAAGTGGTAAACGTCTAACTTCATCATTAAGTCAGGTTTTCCTCACACATCAGTCTGACACGTCGTGATATAACTGAAGCACTGTTCAAGGTTCACTGTTTAAACCAAACTCTCTCTCACTTACAACACTTGGACGCCGTGATATAACTGGAATAATGTTAAAAGCGGCGTTAAACGTAACTCACTCACTCACTACAACACTTGGACATGTGATTATTTGAGCGTTTATTGAATATAAGGACGCTAAAAATAGCCGTCCAATCAAATTACATTCAAGAGCGAGGGAAATAATGTGTTGAGTTCCTTGGTTCAGGGTTTATATATTACTACAGTAGATCCATTGGATCTTCGAGGATTACACACTGATATATATAACGTCTAAGAATATGGGTTCATAGTCCCTTATATACACGGTCAGTGAGTGTTTGAGTGAGCAATCTTGAACACTATTTGAGTAACAGTTCAACATAGGAGGAAAATAGTTTTCAAGTTGACCACTTTCGTGAAACCCAAGAGCACGGGTATGCTGCTAAAAATCAAGAATCATAAGCATGACGAATGTGCGTTTTGAACCCCCGTCCATTCTGACATGTCTTGGACGACTGAATCACATGTGATAATGATTGAAATCTATGCTCTTATTTTTAAACTTACAACAATATATATATATTGATGAGCACACAAATATAAGCATTTGTAAAGACTACATCATTACAGAGACGAATATCGCTTATATCGACATCGGTAATCCCGGAAGAACCCTTATCATAAAATTACTCCTCGATTCAGTTGCTATATATTTCGATCTCCAATGTCAAAGCACTAAGCTGGATACATTGACCTCAAGATAACGCTAGATGGTATCATTATTAATACGCACAATAACATTAAATATAAGATGGCTTCGTGATAAATCGCAAAGAACAATGAAGAACGAAGCGTGGTTTATTTCACGATAAAACATTGTTCTATCATGACGTCATTTCTGGAGATTCGAACATGCGCTCTCAACTTGATGACGTCGTAAAGAGGACGACGTTATGTTTGAGGGGGAAGTTTCGATTGAGTTGTTCACCATAGATGTAGATATGACAATTGGTATTGGGAGAAAAGGTGCAGATAATGGACGTGAAAATTGTACATAAAATGGAGTTGTCCGGCATTGCCGGCGTCGGATTGTATTCGGGGAGTCATCATTATTTTAAATATGGTAATATGTTGCAAAAGCTTATACAATTTATTGACATCATAAAAAGGGTGTACCAGATGTTGATAACTCATGGGTTTATTCTCCCTGCAATGTTTTATTGTACGTTAAATAACTCCCACTCCGTTTATTTCTTATAAAGAAATTCACTGTAAAAAGCCTTTACGTTGAAAACAAAACTCGAAGGTACCACCCAGAACAGTAAAATAGTACCATTAAATAAATCCCTCTCCAACACTATTCAGGCCATGGCAACACTATTCAGACAGGCATTTGGACTCCCTGACCCATCAAGGCTTATTTCTCATGTTGGCCTGTAGGGTCCGCTCGGATGGTGATATGAAGGGGGTGACAATTCCCCACTATAAGTCCCTACTTAGACACCGGACACACAACAATGCGGGTCAAGTAGATATGAAAGTTCAGTAAAGTTAAGGACCATGTGTTTTATAGATCCTAAACCATCGACTTAGTTCTGGTTCTTCGATCCAATAAAAAGAAGTTCTATTGCTCCAAGTCGATATCTCTCCGTCAAGATTTATCAAACCTTCAAAGGGGATCACGTGAGATGGATTTTCTAATTTCTAAGCATTCGAAGCAGCACACCTGCCTTCTGTATCTGGCAGGCGAACTACGTTGTGGATAGGTCACATTCTTCCGTCTCAGTGGCGTCTTTTAATAAGACTATATTTCCAGGGATTTATCTACTGGTCTAAACGAATTGTCAATGGCAGACGAAATGAGCAAAAAGATATTTTGTACAAAATTGGGACTTTCGTTAGTTAATAGTCCTTATTTCTTAAATTCAGGATTTTAAAATAGGCCATTCAACGCAAACTTTCAAATCTAAACACTAAAACCTCTTCTTGTTCATTGATCCTGTTGTCAGAGAAATGCAAGTCACCTCGGACTACTTTGATTGGCTCATTTTTCAACTTCCAAAGTTCGCGAAAGTTTCACCTGACGGAGGATTTTGGAGATCTTGGCGGGGCAAGGTATCGAATCGAAGTGAAAGATCTGAATGAATGAGAATGAGTGTTTTTCGAAACTCGCAAAACCTGCAGGGTATATGGAATAACATCTTCGTAAATAATCATAAGATCAATACCTTAAGTCCTAAAGCACAGTTTCAATAACGCTAAAATCAATATATCAAGCATCAAATTAGAACTTTTGTTGAAATAACAGGTTGTTATAAACATTCAGGCTAATTTCTTTCAATCTCGATTATCTTCCTCTTGGGCGTATAAAGCAAAATAGGAGTCAAAATTATATGAATGAATCACTTAAAATCAGTGGTGAAACAAGGTGTTTTCCAAAAGGGTAAGCATGTTCGGCCCTACCGGTAGCACCCGCCAGACACAGAGTCTGTCTATATGTTATACGACGGTGGCCTGCAACAATCCAGGTTGGACCAGACAGGCAAGTGATTGACAAAGCAATAGCACTTACATTATAAGCCTTGTTAATTCGAATTCCGGTGTATCGATATGTCATTTTGGACGAAGTAACTGTAGTCTAATAGTTACACTCGCTTGTCTCGAAGCAAGGATAAGACGACATGCAGCCAACGGATCCCAGGACTTCGAATTAACGAGGTTTCTTTGTATATTCAATATTCGTCGACCTATATGTAGACTTTTATTACAACATGTGATAAGAAAGTCCGAGAAAAAGAAAGTATACTTGAAAATTGGACTTGACCAAGTATTACATATGTTACGAAAACGTTCCAAGGCTGACAACGATCCCCGATACACTGCAAACTTAAGGTTAAAAAGCGACAAAACCATTTCATTATTCAAGAAATCTCTGACAAAAGCAGAGTCAATTGTAAGACTCTGATACCCGTATCAACAACATCAAATACGACAACTCCGATACCCGTATCGAATACATCACCATCGAGTAACCATTTCGTGGTTGTTTCATTTTTATCTACAATCGAACATAACTGTATACTGTCTTTTGCCCGCCAGTTAATGTCGCTGAAATCACGAACATAACTTCAAGTAAGTTGATAATTCTCCCGTAAAAATAAAGCATACAAAGAGAATACGTCCGTGGAGGCTTTCAGGAGTATGTATGGATCAATCGACTTTACATTATTAAGCAACAATCTCACGTCGCCATAACGTCTGACAAAGCTAGTAGGACTAATACCCAGGAGCAGGATGTCAAGATAGACTAGTGTGGAGAGACATACGAGAATGGGCCACTTATTAAAAAACATACATACCAGACATACAATGCGCCTGAGTCACTACAACAAGAACAGATAAAAAACCCACAGTAATCGATATCTGCGCAAAGCTATTGTACAAACAATCCGCTTCCTTGTGTGTGGCTTATTTTACGGTATATGTAGTAATACATTATTATGAAACTACTCGAGCAAATCTCTTGCCTGCCAAACCAACGGAATACTATGTGTAGGTTGCTAGACGTTACTGACTGGGAATACCCTATAACTAGAGAGCTTTATGTTGTTTTGCTGAAGTAGGAAAATCACCTCCATGGTCTAGTGGATAGAGCGTCTGCCCTGAGAGCGGAATGGTGTCAGACCAAAAGACGTTAAAAGATGGTACTTGTTGTTACTCTGCCTGTTGCTAAGGGGATAAAAAGGACAAGCTGGCTTGTAGTCGGTGGGCTAACAATATGAAACAAACACACACACAAACACACACACACACACACACACACACACACACACACACACACACACACACACACACACAAATACACGTACGTGCTTGCACGTTGCTATATGATTGAAAAAATCTTGAACGCGATGTCAACCCATTTCACCCCACTCTTAAGTATATAGCACAACTCAAATTTCATGAGGCTGCACCCCGAAACGAAATATTTGCTCATAATTATTCACATATAATAACTAGAGCAGATGTCTCATCAATGTTTTTACTTCTCGCCATGTAAATCTTGTTTTTACTACATTATCAACAAGAATATTGTTGAAACATTCGATAACACGCACAGCGCCACTCCTTATGCAACACGACAAGCGAACAAAATCACTTCCAGTAGGACATTAATGAATCACGATTTGCCTGAACGTGACGAATTCAAAGAAAATGCAGCTCCCTCAATTACCCTCTGAACGCTGTAAGTCGGGCCTTCGGTTCATACAAACAATCTAATCGCTGCGGGGATTCGATCTATCGAACAAGGTTGCAATAGTGAAATGCGGAATGCAATAAAAATCAATAGACCCGTATTGCACGTATTGGAGACATGCGTTTTGTACCGCCACCCAATTACACTTGCATGGAACAGAGTTGGAAATATTCAGAAATTTAGATTATATTTTGATAAATTACCAAAGTTTTAAGTTTGATACGATCGTAGATATGAAGATCAACGACTTGACGCAAGTTTGAATGTGTGGATAGTCTGTGGGGACAACGGGCGGTAAAGCGCCGAGTATAAACTAGAAGTGAGTAAGTGAGTGGTTTTACGCCGCTTTTAGTAATATGAGATCAAAATCAAGGTGGGGGACTCCAGAAATAGGCTTCATACATAGTAGAGCTAATGCAAACCACTAGGCTACCTCACCGACCTTAAAACCAATAGGTGATAAAGCGTTCGCCCATGACGGTTTTTCGAAAAAAGTAACTTCTCCAGACAATATACTGCAAAAAAACAACATAACTTTGCCTAAGGTTTTACTATAACCAAAATTGTTTAGTTGTTGCAGTGAACAAAATGAGTTGGTCAGTACTTCAGTACTTACAGGAAGTGTAGAGGAGTACGTCATATCAATCTACTAGAAATGTCTCGCGGGGTGAAATATCACCTCTTACAAGCACAGGCAGTTCTTTTCCCCTTTCAGGGTCAAATGTCAACCATATCTTTCCGTGAACTAATAAAAGGGTCACTTATATCACAGGGCGATAAGCACTGGTAACTGGGTATCTGAGACACCGCGTTACCAGGCTGGACTGGGCGATCGAGTGGGTTGGCTGTGTTAAGTGGGCCCAAATGCATGTATAATTCAAATAATATAGACTCATGTTTTGGCCCAATTTGTCCAAAACTAAACAACATATTTAAATATGCACTGTAAGTAACAGCGTCTATCGGTTTCTGGTTGAATATTGTTATCTGTAAATAGTCTACATATCTCTGATAATTTTCTTTAAAATTACGAAAAAGACTTTTTCAAATAACAATCCCCTAAAAAGTATAACTTCGTCAATACATGTAGTTAAATGTATTAATCATCTGTTTAAATAAGTATTCTTGACGATTAGTTACACACGTGATACAATTTCATGGTCTGGAATAAACTGATTGGTCGCGTAGGCTACTAGAAACACGTATAAATGTTTTGCTGTTTGTTGGCTAAACGTTTATAGCCCCTATAAAGAGGACAACCATTCTGATATAAACATACATCCTCGATATAACAGTATTTGATTAAGTCATATGTTCACTGTAGTCTATAGCAATGAGAAAGATACATGAATAAAATATGGCCATTGCTAAGCGCAGGTTAAATATTGATAGAAGATTATTTGTCTATTTGTGTAAGTACGATATCTGTTTTATCACACCAACATAAACAGCCTTGTGAGAGTTAAGGTTTTTATCACCGAGATTACGAACACGAAGGATAACAACGATGTAATATCATAGCGATAAAGCATTCATCCTTTGCAGGATATTTATTTCTGATGAAACCGCCTCCGAAATAAAACACTGCAGTTTAATACAGTCTGTTGTAATTGGTCTCTCTGGGCGTTGATAAACCACTACATCACATCGTAATCTATTCTACGTATATCCAGTGGCAACTGAGATTAAATATATATCTGTCGACATGACAGGACAAGATTGTTGGGTACACAGATTGTCAAAGGTAGACACAACAAATCGGAATTCAATGTCTTTTTAGCAGGCATGTTTAAAAGGACCACTAAATAGTCAATACTCTCCGGGCGGTCTCTCGTCTAGAAAGCACTATAATCATGGACCCAGTGTTCCCTGCCCCGTTTGGGACCTATGATACCGTGTACATCAAAACACAAAGACATGTTTAACGTCTCACAGTTCATTCATTCTGGCAGCCTGATTTGTACACCATTGACACAAATTGACGAACGGCGGATAACATGTGAATAAGATTATAAATAGTCGTGATAAAAGGGAACGATAACTAATTAAACAATTGTCTCCGAAAAGCAGATCACCTATACCAGTTACGCTCATGCATTAAAATTTGGGTATCACTCTACCTAAATAAAAGCGACAAAACCCTTTCCATAATCAAAACATATCTCTCATAAAAGCAGAGATTATTGTACGATGTAGGTTATTTCACCAAAGAAAGTGCATGGAAAATAGACGGTTTATGCATGACTAAAACAAAACAGTGAGTGGTACCTGTTAAATATACGCAGGGCTGATTCTCACATATCCAGGGGGTGGAAAACCAGCACCTTGTCTGACAGCACGCTTTACACACCACACGTAACGGATGAGCTTTCCCTGCTAGCCCAGGGTGGGGCAAGTCACTACTCATACGCATGAAACCTAACGCCTGTCACCGAGCCTCGAAGTCTCAGCCATACAAAGAATTGGCTATTCACTGACAGACAAAATTCAAACAAGATTGAAGTATTGATTTGCCACGTCTTTCAAGACTAGGGTAATTATGAAGTCACCTTTTCCCTTTTTTTGTGTTGTTCAGTTCAGTCATTGTGTTACTAAGGTTCAAATAAGATCCATGTAAAGTTGATTTCTAAAAATGCTGTTTGTGGGGGCACAAGTTCAAAGGGTTCGGTGCAATCAACTTGAGTACTCAACGTGGCAACCACTCTACTCTGAAGCCTCGTATATCTAGTAGTTTCACGAATAGCTTCTTCAAGATTTGTTTCTTCATGATAAAAGTCTTAGTAACTAAAATACATGTTTGCACGTGTGTACAGGCTTCAGCGCAACGTTGTGATTAAAGTTTAATATCACATATATTGTAAATCATAGCCACAATGGAGTTCATTGTCTCGTACGTAGTCAATTTGAAGTTTAATCACTCAAATCTGTTTTGGGATATCTAAAGATCGATTTGGTGAAAAAGCAATAATCATATTAAACACAGAAAACACATTTTTTTATATAATCTGTGGTCACTTGACGAAGAAACATGACTCTCATGGTGAGTGAGAGAATTTTGTTCAACGCCGCAGTCAACACTATTCAAGCTGTATCGCTACGGGCTGTAAAAAATCGAGTCAACCGATGGATGATATTTTGAACAACGTCCTACGCCGTCGGGGCATGATGACGCCTGAGTCGCCGAGCCTGACCACCTGATCTATAGTCGCTTCTTTGGTCAAGCATATAATTGCTACCTGGGGACTACTTATATCCCGAAATTCAAACCGAGTTGGTCCAATTATAAACCATTACTTAATACATCTACATCAAGTATGCATAACTCTGTCGACTTTTAGAAAACAATACAGCCATGATCATAATGAGAAATAAAAACAAGGAAAGCCATATTGACTCTGTTTCCATCAGTGACAAAGTATTTTATCTCGGTCACGTGAACTAACAAAATCTCAACATTCTGACATGGGGGTAAGATAATAAGTGATGTCTGATGCAATTCCCTATTTTGACTTGTACCATATGTTCAGTGTTTCTTCATGTGAATAACCGACTTGCCTTTGCATGTGTTTGTGACGATTGCCACCGGTGGAGCAGGATACGCTCATCCCTGGTCTCATTACGTTTTGAAAGTGATTCATGAACATATAGTTATCATACAGTCGGAACCGCATAATGGTTTAAAAAAGGGTTTTGTCGCTTTTATTTGAAGAATACTCGATTCTGACTGGTTATGCAGGATATTCAGTTCCCGGCCCTGGTCAATCACGTAACAACACTATTAAACTGCTGGGTAAAAGAAAGTATACACCCATGTTTGACGGTGGCTAAAAGAGAAACAAACAAGAAACGGTTATTCGTGGGTTGTGTATTTCATACGGGTATCATAGTTGTGTTTTGGACTTTTAAGTCGACTATGTTCAGCCGAATAAGACCGCCTCCGTGGCCTAGTGGTAGAGCGTCCGCCCGGAGAGCGGAAGGTCCGGGGTTCGATCCCCGGCCGCGTCATACCAAAAGACGTTAAAAGATGGTACTTGTTGTTACCCTGTCTGGCCCTCGACATTAAGGGGCTAAAACAAGGACTGGTCGGCTCTGAGTCAGTATACTGTGTCTGAGTGGGGTATTCATGTTAAACTGCGGCATGGTATCTCAGTGAGCTAGCACTATAAATCGGCATCATTCCGGACTAGTACAAGCAGCCACACACACACACACGTGCATGCACGTCGCTATATAAGTGCAATAATCTTGGACGCGACGTTAAACCCAATTTCACCTCACCTCACCTCAGCCGAATAACGTTTTGATAACGTTTGTATGTTTTAAGTTAAATCCATTTTTCAAGTGTATCCTTTCTTTTGCCCGGCAGTTTACTTTCAATGATGACTATAACGATATACTTTGTACACACAGTAGGATACATATCTTAACAGTAAGGTCGCGACACGATACAAGGTACTCAACCTTTGTGATGCAAGAATATATACTCCATCATCCAGGGAAATGAATGAAGCCCAACCAAAACATATTTAGTAGATCTAAATTATTAATGAAAAGTTGGCTGAAACCTTTTGTACATACCGACAGTAATTAACATTTTACAATTACCTTTAATTAAAAAACAATATAACCCTAAAATACACTTGCACTGTTTTGCATAAATATTATGAATCGTTACATCCCTAGCGCCATTAAGGGTGTATCATGAGGAAGTGATTTCAGTTAAATGCCACATTGATCAGCATTTCAGTTTGTCAAGGTGTGTCAGCTTAATCAGTGAGAAACACCTGAAGTAGTGCAGGTCTTGGATGTTTACCACTCTCGTGAAACCCACGAGCATGTGTGTGGAATGCTGACAAATCAGTCATCTTAATCAGAGCGAATCTGGGATTCGAACCAACGATTATAGGATTCTGAGACGTGAAAGACGCATCTCTGACAGCGAATCGCGACGACTCAAACACCTAACGGTTGACGCTAAATCTAGATTAACTACCTGTTGACCGAATGTAGAAATTTCTTCCCACTGCTAACGCATAACCCACAAAATGGTAATTACTTTTACATCGAAAAGTGTGTAATCATGAACCAAAATAAATGACAAATAGCAAATATAATATTTTTTCATGATTTGCAGCAGGAAGAGGCGTTATTTGTTTCTCATCCAATATCGGCGAATCGTTGATCTCGTACGCACAATCCCCATTGATGTCAAGAGTTTGACAGAGAGGCCGGAGAAGCCAAGACGTGGACTGTGTGATCACTTAACTCTCTAATGTAGGGTTGACGACAGGTCACCAAATGTCCGTCTCTTAATCAATGAAAATGGTATTTCGGGTTGGGATCTGTTTATTATTACATTACCTTTCACGTGCTCCAACATTATTTTATCATAAAAACAATATACATTTATGATGGACACAATATAGGAATTGTCATGAAAATGAAATAGGCTATATATGGAACTGCTCCTGTCAATGTAACGAATGCAAATTTCATGAGGGAGAGTGTGAGACGAAACTATACCATTGTTAACGGACTACTGTAACGATACTTTATGTGTCGGTGAAAGGTAGATATTCAGTTTGCAAGTACAGTCTCATTAACTAGCTCAGTAACATACATCTTTAGGTACAATGACAAATATGTTCCTCAAAACGTACAGTTTTGTACTGTTCAATACCACAATTATTTTAGATCCATATTCCTGAGGATGTGAACAGACATGACTATTCTTAATGAAATGTTTACAATGTGATTGCTTTATGTAAAGCTATGTATTTTACGCTGCAAAATATAATCTAAAGTTGTTATATAGTTGTTTATTTTGGGTGTGGTTCCGTTCACCCAATGCACTTACCTTATCGAATAGTATTATCACCTAGCTGTATCCAATACGACACCTTGAGTCACAGATCATTGTTCAAAACAGCCAATTAATGAAGTATCGTGATGTGTTTTCACGCCGTTCGACAAAAATACGAGGACAGGTCATACAGTTTGGAAACATCATTGCAAAACGTCATGTATTGACAATAATGCCGGGAATAGTACACTCATATCGAGTGACAGACATTCAGGTTCGTCAAAGCTGCAAACTCGCAATTAATGCATGTGTGGCAGGTGACAACGGACACCCGGAGCGCCAAAGTAAGTGTAACAGGTGCTTATTATTTATTAACACCTTGCTGGTATATGTCTCCCCTGACATCTATATTCTCATCTATTAGCAGGTGGTGATAACGAGAACATTGATTCATCAGAACATGTCCACAGCCCCTCTGGGTAAGCAATACAATGGATATTAAAACTTTAGGACTGAATCAGCAACGAGTCACAGAAGTATCAAAGCCTATCTATCGACAAGGAGATCATGCACAGATACGGCATTGTTCATGGGAGTACGGTACACCCTTCAAAAGGCCCAGGCGTACCTTTATTAAACTTAGAGTGCCTACCAGAATACTTTTGATCCATTTTCAAACTTTGTGAATGTCATTGTACCCAGAGCTTGTAATATGTACTTTATCCGCTAGCATTTCCTTGAGACAGATAATACCCTTTTCAATTGCATGTATAGGGCTTGAACTAGTAACTGCGTTTTTATAATACCAGTCAATTTGTGCGAAAGTACATTCACCACATGAATCATCTGTCCACGGGATGAATTCGTTGTGTTTGTATCTTGTTTAAAGACGCATGCAGCTATATGACGACGGTCTGTAAATAATCGAATCTGGACCAGACAATCCAGTGACTGACATCATGGGCATCGATCTAAGCATTAATCTGACCATCCTGTCTTGTTATTCGGTTCATCAAGCATTTGTTGCTGGAGACTAATTCTTTCCCGGACCTTGTCGCCCTGATATAACTGGGTAGCAACATACCCGTGGCAGTGGGATTACGCCAGGTGCTTGAGCCTGCATCACCTTGTGCACTCTTCCCACACTGAGCTGATACAGACATACTGTTCAACGCGGCATCAAATACAAGTCACCAACACATACCCATCAATTGTCCATGAGTTGAGGACCCATGGAGATCCGGGATAGAATAGGTCTTCAGCAACCTTGCCGTAAAAGGTTACTATGCTTGTCATTAGAGACGACTAACGGGATCGGGTGGTCAGATTCGCTGACTTGGTTGATGCATGTCATCGATCCCAATTGTGTGGATCGATGCTCATGATGTCAAGCACTGGATTGTCTGGTCCAGACTCCATTATCTACAGACAGCCGTCATATAGCTGGAATATTGCTGAGTGCGGCGTTAAACAAACAAACAAACAAAATGATATTTTCTCAGACACGCCTGTCATACATTCATTCTTTTAATTCAATCCATCTCACGAAGCGGTTAGTCACAAGTACACACATTGTAAAACGCAGAATTTCCTTAAGTTAGATAATGGTCCAGACTCCATTATTTACAGACCGCCGTCATATAGCGGGAATATTGCTAAGTGCGGCGTAAAACAACAAACCAACCCACCAACCATGAGTTTAGACGACTTAACTTCTACAATATAGCAAACACACATTTCCTACATTTTCTAACAAAAGAAAGAGGACTAACTCGCAACTCGAACGTACTGACCATTTTGCAAAATATATTTACTCGGGGGAGATAATTAATCGTTACTTCTTGGCAGCTCCTAAGTTATTATCCTCTTATAATCTATCAATATATA